GGAAAACTAAGTGAGGATTAACCTAAGCAGCTACAAGGGTAAAAAACGCAGCAGATCTCAGAATTGACAAGAAAATGGAATCTAGTTACTTACACATTAAAAAGATAATGTCGAATAAGTGCCTTCAAGTTTATGGTGGAAGACAACCTCAAGGACAGAGGCCGTGAACACCTAGACAAAATTAGGGAAGGGCCATAGCTCAGTGGCAGGCACCTGCTTTGCATGCAGAAGGTCCCAGGTTCAATCCTGGTACAGTGGTACCTCAGGTTACATACGCTTCAGGTTACATACGCTTCAGGTTAAAGACTCCGCTAACCCAGAAATAGTGCTTCAGGTTAAGAACTTTGCTTCAAGATGAGAACAGAAATCGGGCTCCGGCGGCGCGGAGGAGGAGCAGGAGGCCCCATTAGCTAAAGTGGTGCTTCAGGTTAAGAACAGTTCAGGTTAAGTACGGACCTCCGGAACGAATTAAGTACTTAACCTGAGGTACCACTGTATCTCCAAGTAGGGCTGGGAGAGAGTCCCTGTCTGAAGTAATGGAGAGCCACTTCCAGCCAGTGCAGACAGTACTGAACTGAAGAGAACCAATGCTCTGACTCATCTAATGCAGCTTGCCTGTGTTCCTAAATTTCAAGTGGGAGAAATTCCAGAGCTTGTTGGCACCACCACATGAAAGGCTTGGTGGTGTTAGTTTGGAAGGGGAGGATCCCAATCGCCCTCATACAACACAAGAAGGAAAACGACTGGTGTTGGCTTTGGCCAGGCCTATGTCTGAAGGAGAGCTCTTGGGGCTGTTCCACAAGCCATTGCCCTGTACACATAATAAACCCTTCTAAACTTGCAAAGGCCAAACCACTTTTCCTTGTTTTTACCTTTTTTTACTTGCCCCTCATTTTTGTTATCCTGGCAAAGGTTTGTTCTTGCTACACACATTGGGCTGACCATACCATTAGACAGAATGAGGAGACCGCCTCAGAAGACAGATGCTGAGGGGGCAGTAGACCCTCCTCCTCCCTGTTCCTCCTAAGTCTCCAGACCACATCCCTTCTGGCGGTGGGCAAAGCTGTGGAGGCTACCTAGCCTGCTGCTTCCAGGTGTGGTGAAGGAAACTCTGCCATCAACCAGTTTTGAAGTTAAGAATTCAACCCACATTTTGCTTCTGTGCATAGAATGGGGAGCGGGGCATCTTGCCCTTTACCTTCAGCTGCAAAATGGCCTCACTTGGGCCAGGCCAGTACACACAGATTATCATAGAGTTTATGATGGTGAAGAAGAGTTGCATGCATCTCACTTGATCCAAAATATCCTTGATGTTAGATGAGAATCTTCTTACTGCGTTGCCCTAGCAAGCCTAAGAAGCATCATCCGAAGAGAGGTTCTTCAGGCATACATACAGTAAAATGGCTAAATCCCCAGGTTTCTGGGGTTATTCTGGGATTCCTCAAGCCATCTCATCAAGCAACCTATCCTTCTGGCCCCCACCAATCTGGAAATATTTTCTGCTGCTGGGGAAAACTTTTTCAGCCGGCAACTACATTTTCAAAACTTATAGACCAGGCCCTTCCCTGCTCTGTATTTTTGAAGCTCCTTGGGGATGCTTAATGCTGGAATATTTACAGCACTAGAGGTTCTGCTGGCTGAAGACATTCTGAGGAGTCCCTGTTTTATATGACAATAAGATGATCACCATTGTACCAAAAGCAAGGTACAAGAACAGTATTTGTATACCAACATGTAATCCTGTAGCTACCCAAAAATAAGAAGGTAGGGACTTCTACTTAGTTGAGAGACCACAAAGCACAGTGGTACCTCAGGTTAAGAACTTAATTCGTTCTGGAGGTCTGTTTCTTAACCTGAAACTGTTCTTAACCTGAAGCACCACTTTTAGCTAATGGGCCCTCCTGCTGCCGCTGTGCCGCCGCCGCACAATTTCTGTTCTCATCCTGAGGTAAAGTTCTTAACCCGAGGTAATATTTCTGGGTTAGTGGAGTCTGTAACCTGAAGCGTATGTAACCTGAGGTACCACTGTATTTAGAAGTATGTATACTCATAAACTGAAATAGTAACAAACAAGAACTAGCCCTATGATCTTCCAGAAGGTCAGTGAGTACACCAATGAGTACACAGGGTTGTTGAGTTTTTTTGTTTTTTAAGAGTAACTCATCTGGAGAGACGACAACATTTTTGTGTTCAAAAATTTTGAACACAAAATACAGCAACTTTTTTGTTGCCATTGTTTTAGTGGGAGTGGAAGAGATACAACATGACTGCCCAATCACAGCTGTACAAAAATCCTGGATTTCACAATTTATTTTTAATCAGCAGGTTTCATTTCTGTCCTAGTGGAGAAAAAACCCAGGGCCTAAGAGGAGGCAGAAGTCAGGCAGACATGCCATTAAGTCTGTAGCTGAGTGGTTTTAAACACAGACTGATGAAGATGTCAGTGGGATGGGTAAAAAAAGGAGGGCAAAAGCAGACCAGGAATTTGACATGCTTAAAATACATGGGAGGACAAAGAAAAATTCTAAGATTTAAGGTTCTCACCCTCTGCAGTAGCAGGGGATGGGGAACCTGTACACTTCCTATTTTTAAAAGTACTAAAAACATAAAAAGAGCCTGCTGGGTTGGGCCAATGGCCCATTTAAGTCCAGCATCCTGTTCTCAGTGGCCAGCCGGATGTCTATGGGAAATACACAAGCAGAACCTGAGCCCAAGAGCGCTGTCCCCTCCTGTGGTTTCCAGAAACTGGTATTCAGAAACATCACTGCCTCTGACTGTGGAGACAGAGCATAGAATCCACCATGGCTAGCAGTTGATACTGGGTGGTCTCTCTTTTTAATGCTACCGATAAACTAGTTTTTCACCTATGTTGTCATATTAAGAGTTTTGACATCTCTAGTAATATAATTGCATCTGGCTTTCTCCTACAGATGGCCGCTTCAACCAGCAGGAGTCCCACATGGCTGCCTAGCTCTGAGAACTGAATTCCATAGGCTTTGGGAACAATTGAAACGCCCCGTGGATTCAGTTCTACAGCTAGACAGCAACTAAACTCCAGGAGCTGCCGAGTTCACTCTTGTGTGTTATCTTGTGTGTCATCAAGGGGATCCGTCAAGACACATAACCATAAGCCAATATAGCTGAACGTTTGCCATCTACGTGGATTATCCTTTTTAGGTGGCTCTCCTATTCAAGCAGCTGCATGCATGCACACCCCAAGTTAACCTGGGTGGAGCTAAGGTGATGTTGCCACACCTGCACTTTGACATTATCTTATAATCCACTCACCTCCTCTTTCTACAGAGAAATATCATCAGCCTAAAAGTGACAGTGGGCTCCTGCCCACCTAGCAGTTCAAAAGCACCCCTAAGTGCAAGTAGATAAATAGGTACCGCTTTATAGCGGAAGGTAAACGGCGTTTCCATGTGCTGCGCTGGTGCTGGCTCGCCAGAGCAGCTTCGTCACGCTGGCCACGTGACCCGGAAGTGTCTCCAGACAGCGCTGGCCCCCGGCCTCTTAAGTGAGATGGACGCACAACCCTAGAGTCGGACACGACTGGCCCGTACAGGCAGGGGTACCTTTACCTTTTAAAAGTGACAGTATGATGCAGTATAAGCCCTCTTCTGGGTCCAAAACACCCCACGTGTCACAGTCATGCATACTTTGAACACACACAAAATGTGTGTTGCCTGTACTAGCTTAGGGCCCTCGTATCTACAGGACCGCCTCTCCTGGTATGCCCTGCAGAGGACCTTAAGGTCCATGAATAACCTTAGTTTAGAGGTCCCGGGCCCTAAGGAAGTCAGACTATCCTCCACCAGGGCCAGGGCCTTTTCAGTGATGGCTCCGACCTGGTGGAATGCTTTGTCCCATGAGACTAGGGCCCTTCAGGATTTAACCTCCTTCCGTCGGGCCTGTAAGACAGAGCTATTCCACCTGGCCTTTAATTGGAATTCAGCCTGATCTTTTATTTCCCTTCTGTTCTCTTCCATCCCCCTCCCCTTTTATGAAATCACCCGCTCTGAGACCCCACAGCTAATTCTCCCCTGGCCTCCTCACTGGCCCAAGTAGGACCAATTCAGCCAGCTAGCCCCGGGGATTATCTAATTGATTTTTGAATTATATTGTTATTCATGTTTTTATACTTTATTTTATGCTGCTTTTATAATTAAGTATTTTAAAGTGTTTTAAATTTGTTGCTAGCCACCCTGAGCCCGGTTTTTGAACCGGGAAGGGCGGGGTATAAATAAAAATTTATTATTATTATTTGCCAAAACAAAGCATCTCTGTGTAAAAATAGTAGATGAGTGTGACTATCTGTATACAAGTTAGTCTGAAACCAATGGCTGAGAAAGTTAGCATTGTTAGGTTAAAAGGCAATACTTTAGATGTGCAACCCAAACCTATACATGTTTATTCCCATGTCCCACTGAATTTAACTTTGATCCTTACAATTGTCACTTTAAAAGGCTTCAATCTTATACATGGCCTGAAGGAAAAGCTTGACCACCCCAATATTGTCCCATGTATGGATCTATATGCTTAATCAAACAGGGTATATTTAGTAAAATTCAGTCTTTGGGCATTACTCTTTTCATACAGCACCATGAACAGTTATCAGGCACCCATCCTTCTGCACCATGAAGCTTACAGAGCTTTCCCATCTGCTCTAAGATAAGTACGTATAGCCACATTAGGGAGGAACTCAAAAGATTAGTGCATGGATCAAAGTCATAGTATTATTATTTGTATTTTACAACTATACCTGTCCTCTTGTTCATTCCTGAACTCTGTGTACTTCTTGAAACTAGCAGAAGAGATAATCTTATGCTATGCTGTACTACAACATCTGCACTTCACAGTTTTGGTGATAAGAGAGGAATTATTTCCTTCTTTAAAACATGCAGATACCCCACAAATAAACAATACTATTTATGTCAAGCAGTCATTTCTACCCTACTTACAATAAGTTATCACAAAGAAATGTTCACACAGTAAAACATGCTTGTTTTCCTTTATTTAAAATGCTCTATGTCTTGCATATATACAACGTGCAACCTGATGGCCAAGCAATTGTTCATCTCACTAGGAAAGAATCACAAATGGCTTAAAACATATTACAGAAAGTGGAATTCACAATAGGTTTCTCTGTGCTGATGTTAAAAATAAAGGTACTCTGGTCCTATTTATGTATGTTGTGTGTCCATTGTCACAGTGTGACCAGATTTTCAGTATACCATCACCTTGTACTGTGACCTCGGGTTCAGTTTCTGAATAATTCCATAGTGAACTCTATGGACATTTACTTAAAGTAGCCAATGTTTGGCCAGGGGTGGGGGAAGGAAAGAAAGAAAAGAGATCCCTCCAACAATGAGGGGGGCAGGAAGAATTTATGGTGCAAAATGGTAATGTACAACTAGGAAGATAATGTGCCAGAAATCCATAGTCAGTTTTTATAAGTAGATTTTTGGTTGATCCAATTGAAAGGCAGCACTACTGGCATTCATTTGGAGTCACTCAAAAAAAGAGCAGGGGTTGACAAAATGAGCAACATCTTCCTATTAGCACAAGAGAAAAGTATGTGTGCACATTAGTGAGTATACAACAGCTACTAAGAAAGTTATTGGAACCTATAAAAATGTCACAGAAAAATCTCTTTCAGTTTTCGGTATCATTGCCGCCAGATATTAGGTCTAAACAGAGGGATACATGTTCAGTCAGTATTATTTGAACCACTTTCATTATCTCTTTGATTTCTTTTTCTTCTTCCTATTGCGGTCTTCACTGCTATCCTCAGCTTCACTAGCAGTTGGGGTGGGTTCGTTTCGGATGATTCTCTTCTCTACCCTGTATTCTTGTTCTCCAACTCTAGGGTCCCCTTTCACAATAAATTCCCCACTGTGGTATGTTATGGTAACATCCGTCCTTGGATAGGTGCCATAGACCCTTCTGAGATCGTCTTTCACGAATTCCGGCAAGTCCCTCCTAGGTCCCACAATCCTCTCAAGCTTACCCCAATGGAGCTCTCCTCTCAAGGTGAATCCCTCAGGCCACACATCCCAGCCTGGTCTTTGGTAGGCTGCATAAGGAGGATAGTTAGCATAGGGGCTGTACAGAGGAAGAGGGCTCACTTGGGGGTAGTACCAGAAAGGGTAAGGATAGAAGTAAGGATTTGCACCATGGATGTGATGGTACTCCACTTGGTTTGCTGGATTTACGTTGTAACCATTGTTATTGTCCATAATCACAGCAAGAGGCCTGTTGTAGAAGTTGTGCATCTGGACTGGAGGGATCATAGGGGCATGTGCAGTGTCTGATGGTCGACTTGGCCCAAGAGGCAGATAGTTATAAGGAAAGGTCTGCATCATAGTTGGATAGTACAGAGCCATACTGGGAGGAGGTGCATACAATTTCTTCTCAAGCAAGCATCACTTTCTCACATCTGGTTCCTGCCAAGCTGTTGAGACAAATGTAAGAGGTGCTGAACTGCGGCAAAGGCAAATGTGCACAAGCTGATTCATTACAAAAGTTTACCACCGCTTGTGGTAAAGCTACATATTTAGCTACACACTTTCGTTTTCTGTCCTCATGGGCCTGCAGAAGCTGAGTCAAACTGAGAGAGGCTTGCTGTTCTTTTAAGAGTGTGATGCATACCAGGATTTATCACATGCCTGGCCACACAAGACAAACACACACTTCTTAGAAACAGAGCTTTCACAATAGCATGTGCCTTAAACAATATACTATAATACTTAAGTGGCTTTGGAACCCGTTGGGACAAGCCTTGCCGACCCATAATGGTCTTGCCGGATAAGCAGAAACTAGCAAGCTTCAAACCGCCCCCCCCTACAGAGTTTTATAAAGCTGTCTATTTACACTCTCCTGCTTTGCCAGAGATTGCTGCAAGGCAATTCAAATAGATACTTCATTTTATGCACATCAGAGAACGTGATTTTAAAAGTATTTTCAGGCCTTAATAAATTGAGCCAGGACAAGACAAGTAATTATCTGGGTGTCTGCCAAAGTGTTCTACTACCACTAAAAACAGTTTTATTTGTAGAATTATTTATAGGCTGCCTTTAGGGCAGGCATCCCCAACCTTTGGCCCTCCAGATGTTCTGGACTTCAATTCCCATCATCTCTGACCACTGGTCCCGTTAGCTAGGGATCATGGGAGCCAAAACACCTGGAGGGCTGCAGGTTGAGGATGCCTGCTTTAGGGACACAGTCCACCCAAGGCCAGTTTACCACTCATAAGCACACTATAATTCAAAATTCAAATTCAAAAACAATTTTAATACCAAAATATTTAAGAACATAGGTCAATCAAAATGAATGATCAGCAAAATAAATTCCTAGAAATTATAAATGCTTTCTATTATCAAACAGCTTTCTAAAATAACAGTCTTGATGAAGCAGCAGTAGCCCAAAATATAGACCACTTTAAAATTTGAAAAGTTTGTCCATTCCTCATCTCTTTGGGGAGAACTTCCATAATGTCAAGGTCACTGCAATAATATATCACCCTGCAAAGAGCACCCTTATAGCTTCTCCATTTGGATGTAGCAAATGAGAACCAACTCCATCTCCTGGTACTAACAAGGATGACCATCAGAAGTTGAGGAGCTGCTGCTGCTGCTGACATAGATCTGCCTCAGGATTAAGACAGCCAGATGAGGACAGCTATAACATTTCTGCCCCTCTCGTTGTCCACAGTGTTATTTAAAATCAAGGAGAAAAGATACCTTTTCAGCTAATTAGATATCAAAATCCAGTCACTTCCAATATGAAAATCAAACAGATTTGAACAGACCTAAGACCTGAAGCCAACACTTTTGCCCGATTGTTTACTCAACTTTTCACCTGCTTCAAGATCCTATAAATTTAACCCTCAACAACATGCCCTGATTTCTTCTATCTCTCCCCTTTCACACATGCCGTCTCCCTCCTACCTGATAATTCCACTTTGGTCTACAAAATTTACAAAGTATTCAAAGTCTGTGCCCTTTAAGTTTCCTAGGAAGGAGTAGGAAGAAGGGATTCCATGAGACTGAAGCCAGTTACAGTGCTAGCAACTCCTGGGGTGGCACACCAGCAATTGCTGAACATTTAGTGTCTCTGGCACAGCCCGGGAGGTAGGCAAGGAAACATAATTAGCTGCCTCTTTAGTCCTCAACGGTTCTCTCCCTTCAAGCTCAGATTTCAGGCTTTGTTGTTGGGAGAAAAGAACACAGAAATGGATAGCAACCAGGTGCAGACACTTGAATGAGGGGGTGGGGGGGACCCAGCTGGGAGAGTCTCAAGGGCTCCACTTACTTTGCTCCCCCTTGGTGTTTTTTTTAGCAGAAGCTTGGTCCCTTGCTGCAGGGATTCAGGCACAACTCTTCCGAAGAAGAGGCAGGCTCTATTGTAGTAACCACGCTCCTAGCACCGACCAACTCAGGCCATGTTCCAAGGAAGAATGGTTTCTAGGCAGACAGCAACAGGCACAGGTATGACGCATAAATTCAGGTAAGAAGCATAGGCTCAGCCTCTTCCCCTATCTATGGCTGTGCATACCTTTGTGGCTTAAAATGCAGTCAGGTCACTTCTCCCTGTTGCATTTCAAGTGACGTTGGCATACTGCTGAACACACCAGAGAGGGTGGGGATGTCTTCACCAGATGCACATTACCTATTTGCTTTCCTCATGCCTGCAACGCCCCGGAACTGCTCCCCATTAAACTATCATCTGCACACAAGCAATAGCTATCCCAAACCTCAGCTTAACTGTGCAGTGAATATAGCTTACAATTTCAAATTGGATGGCTGCTGGCTTGATGGAAAACACATCAAACTGCAGTATTTCTCAAGAAACTACAGGATATATATGGCATATACCAGGCATCGGCAAACTCCGGCCCTCCAGATGTTTGGGGCTACAATTCCCATCATCCCTAGATAACAGGTCCAGTGTTCAGGGGTGGTGGAAATTGTAGTCCCAAACATCTGGAGGGCCAGAGTTTGCCTATGCCTGGCATATACACACAGCTTCAAACACCAATACACCAGAGACTGAGGAGGCTCTGGTCAGTGCCTGGTTACACCTATCAATGTATGCTGTTAACAATAAACCAGTGTCTGTGCTTCCTGAGTGTCTAAGGATATCCCTGGCTCTCTTCTACGGTATTTTATTAATGCATTAAGGTGTGTGTTTTATTTTTTAAAAGTTGAGAAGTATATTTAAAAAATATGATTCCCCTGCCTGCAGTCTATTACCTCATCATTCAGCAAGGGATTGGCCCAAGCCAAGGAGAGTTGTGTTCTCCCATGATTTTAGCACTGCCACAGCTGGAGCACAAGCTGGACCTCCCCAAAGAGGAGAGGGCATAAGCTTCTCAACTCTGCTTTTTGTCTCTTGAATAGATCCCCAGAAACAGGCATCTCATTGCACAGATGGCCACACACTGCTTCTTCACTTTTCTGTCTCTGGGCTTGATGCACAGCTCACACACATTTTTAAAAAGTTTTCCCCCTCTTGCATGACTGTATGTTCATCATTAAGTCTGAGCAGATTTAACCATCTTTCTTGATTGACCAAGACTCCCCCTGATAGTTCTCAGCCCCCAAATCCCCCCACAAACCTTCTGTTGCCAGCGTCTCATATGTAGCAATTTTGGATAATTAAAAAGGTAGAGACAGAAGTTACTATCAACTGAAGGGCAGTCTTCATTTTCCTTTGCAGTTATCAGTGGTGGACTTTTTTAAACAGGTGTTGTTGTTTTTTAAAAAAAGTTCTTTGGGGCAATTCTTAAATTTGTGGGAGTTGGCGTCACACACATATTCCCCCAAACCTGATAGTATAGAAAGAAAAACACAGCACCATTTGGCAAGTCAAGGAGTTAAGGATGAAGTTACACAGCTGAATGGTTTCCAGAAACAAGCTTACAAACTGCAGTTCATCAGAGTAATGACTGAACAAACAAGTCACAGCATTAGTAGCATGCAAGAAGCCTCATCTACCAGGCCAAATAAAATAAATACAACCCAACATAAACAAAGACCAGAGGCCTGCAGCCAAGGTTTTGGTTGATATGTATGCACATAATATCCCCTACCCACTGGGTGGGGGGAGAAGGAACATCTTCCTTCCCCTACTGTCTGGGTTCACCCATCTTTCTGTCCCTTAAGATCTTAACCTTTAGCACCACTGTTTTGCCTCGTCCTCTTAATCCTATTGCCTTCCTCAAAGATCCTAACCACCAACAGTACTTTTCCCTTATCTCTCCTCCCCTCACCACTCCTGCCAGCTTCCTCATATATGCATCCTCTCCCTCCTGGTGCTGTTGATAGCAAGGCTTCCCAGCCACAGGTGCAATACAACAGGAGAGAGCACTCAAATTAGAGAATGTATTGTTGTGGGAACAATGATCTAGTATATTTGTGAGGTGTGTGAATTTGTTCTCATTTTTCATCTCCACCAAACCACATAGATTATACAGATGCTTGGATACTTGCCTAACACTAGAAGTGGGGGGGGGGTTTGAAGGCAGAGAAAAGAGATGATGTTTCAACATTTGCTTACTCTGAAGTGCACCAGTTAGTTTACATTGATGCAGGAAGCTCAGATTATACATGCCATCATGACTGCTGATGTTTTAAACAGCAAGCTATTTACACTACATAAATGCAATTTAAATCTGTGGGACTACTCAAGTGGGCGGTATAGATTGTAGTGCATCTTGCCATTGACTCTGGAGTCAAATCATTTTCTAAACTGAAAAGCTGAAAGACAAAGTTATGAGACTTCTTGCACACAATAGTGGAGATGAAACACAGGTGACTGACCAATAAAACGCCAATTTAGAATGTTTCTGATATATGCTAATGTCACTTGCTAAGATCTATCCAGGAAACAGGATCAATAGTTAAGGAGAACATGGTTTCTCCATCTTTAGGAGAAAAATAGAGGGTGTGTGTGATTCATTCCTATATGATAAATTACACCTGTCAAAGTGCCATCTTCTACACCATGGGTCAGCAAACTAAGTTCTGCGGGCCGGATCAGGCCCAATTACCTTCTGGATCTGGGAATCGCCGCGTGGATTGCCAGCGCGTGCGTTCTTTCCCTCTCTCTCTCCCTCACACGGCGGCGCCTCCTCCCTCCCTCCTCCCGGCTTCTCCCTGCCCTGTCTAGAGGAGGAAGGGGGCTGGGCTTTGTTGGTGCCAGCAGCAGCGGCACTTGAGCGGCTGCCATTTTAAGCAGCCCCTCTCCGGAGCTCTTTCGCATGCTGCTCATCGTCCCCCCTGCCGCCAGCCCCTTCTGCTCACAAGACACAGGTAAGCAGCCACCGGGGCTTGTGGTGCTCTTGCGTCATTCCCCCCCCAAGATATAGTCCGGCCCCCCACAAAGTCTGAGGGACAGTAGACCAGCCCCCTGCCGAAAAAGTTTGCTGACACAACTTTTAGATGTTGAGGAACACAGGAAGCTGCATTATACCAAGTAAAAAGCACAGATCCAGCTAGCTCAATTTTGTCTACTGACTCAAGCAGCTCTCCAGGATTTCAGATAGGAGTCTCTTTCAACCTTACCTGGAGATGCACAGCATTGAACCTGAGACAAATGCTCCACCACTGAGCTATAGCCCTTCCCAGGGCTGTCTTAAGCATATCCGATGCTGTGGTGCAAATATACCTCTGCCCCCCCCCCATTTCCCAAAGTTGTTGACCTTTTTTGGGGGGGGGCAAAGTTGTTGACCTTTTTTAGGAAAGGAAGGTTCCCCAGAGGTTTCCCAGGGAGCTGACACCACACTTACACATTATCTCATTATCTCTAACAAGCCCTTAGAACAAAATAAAATGAAGAGGCAGAAGAAAATCTAATGAAGTCTGCAATTCCAAAGCAAGACTCATTCAAGACTTAGCAGTTCTTCTAATTCATCCTCATGATTCAAATCACCAGGTATCAAAAAGCTAAAGCAATCACCAGTTTGTCGTTCTTTAAATAAAGTGATAAAGACACAGAGAATGAAGTTTCCGGCCAATTTGTGTTTAAGTACAAAGCTGACGTTTTCAAATATTGTGGGGGTGGGTGTAAAGCAGTGACATCCTGAACCTAAAAAGGACACAAAACTTGGGTCACAAAGGCTGCAGCCCTAACTGCACTTACCTGAGAGTAAGCCCTGCTGAATCTAATAGGACCTTAAAACCCGCCCCTGTCTTTAAAGGACTTTTTGTTGGTGTTTGTTTGTTTTTAACCACTAACTGCATGGAGAGCATGCTCTCGAGTCCATCCTTACCTCCGAACTGAGTCCTAATGGTAGTGCGCGCCCCCCCCTTCAGCTTTCCCCTCCCACCACCCCAAATGAATCCCTCCTCCACCTTTTTCCTTGAAGGAAGGGGCGGGGGGGGGGGAGACGTTCTCAGCACCCCTCCCCCTCCCTGTCCTCTCCTCCCCCTGCGCTAGCCGCGCAGGCTTCCTCAGCAGTCCCACTACTGCCGCAGGGCGGGCAGGAGGGAGAAGGGTGCAATGTAGCTTTGTGCGCCGCTGCTGCTGCCTCCTCTCCCAGGCAGGAAGCGAGAGAGCACGGCTGGCCATAGGAAGAGCTGCTGCCGCTGCCCAACATGTCCTCGCAGCTCTTCCTGGTCGGTCCCAGACTACCGCTGCTGGGTTCCCCTGATGGGCGGGCGCCGTGGCGCAAGGCGCCACTAACTCTAATGGATAATATGGCCCTGGCCCTTCCGCAACAAGTCTCCCCCGCCCCTTTGCCTCTAGTCATCATAGTTTGAAACAAAATCAACACAAGTTGATTCTTTTATCATTACAGTCCAGAAAATCCTACTGGTTCACCTTATTGTTGCTTCCTTTTTTCTAGCCGCCTTTAGCAGCTACAGTATATGAAGTTTTCTCCATTACCACATATACAGGTCGGGAAGATCTGCTGCTGAATATGTGGGTAGATCATAACTGTTAAGAGAGACATAACATAACTAAGAAAGTTATTTTTTTCTAAAAAGTCTCTTCTTAACTATATTGCTATGAACTTGGGAGTCTTGGTTGCAAAGTTCAGCTCAACAATGTACTCAGTAGGGAGCCATAAGAAAATTATAACGTTTTAATATCTGTAGTCATGAAATAAGAATTGAGACCTACCTTGTATAATTGTAAGACCAAAGTATATCAGAGAGCTTTGTATTAAAATTAATACCTAAAACTACTATCTTCTGATTTGCTAAAATATTACTTAATGAGATTTTCCACTAGATTTTCAATTAACCAGCAT